TGTGACACCCCACAAGAAACTGCTTACAGAGCATCTTGTTGTGTTCCATTACGGGGAGCACTTGGGCCTCACTGTGTAGGTGATGCTCAGGCGTCATCAGAAGGCACCCAGTCGCTCTCCGGAGTGCGGCGTTCTGACAAGTCTGTAGCTTCGTCCACTGCGTCCAACTAGTCCCCGGCGTCCAAACTGGCGCAACATAAAATAGAACCGGCCGGCCAATTGCCTTGTATGTTGCCAACAACGTTTCTTTGTCTTTGCCCCAAGTGCTGCCGGCGAGCGACTTGAGGACCTTGTTGCGGCTCTGTACTTTGTTGACAACTGCGGTTGTGTGCGCGGAGAAAGAGAGCAGGCTATCAAAGGTAACCCCTAAATTTTCGGGTTGTTCACCGTCGGTATTGGTGTGCCGTCGACGTGAATGCCTAATTCAAGCCTGACCTCCTTCGTCCAGGTGGTGAAGAGGGTCGCCGTTGATTTCGTTGGGGAGAGGGTTAGGCTCCTTGCAGTGAAGAAGCGAGAAAGGCTGGAGAGATAGCCGTTTACTTTTGAGCAGAGGTCATCAATTCCCTTCCAAGACGCCAAAATCGAACAGTCATCAGCGTAGGAGATCAGGGAAACTCCTTCAGGTGGCTGGGGGAGTTTCGAGATATAGAAGTTAAAAAGTAAGGGGGAGAGAACACCACCTTGTGGAACCCCTTGTTTTATTCTTCTAGGTTTCGAGGTTTGATCTCTGAAGATTACTGATGATTGCCGACCACTCATATAATTCGCCGACCATCGCTTCAGTCCCTGTGGGAGAGAGGAGGCCTCAATGTCTTCTAGCAGCGTGGAATGGCAGACGGTGTCAAACGCCTTTGACAAGTCCAGCGCTACTAGGACAGTTCTCTCACAGGGGCGGTTTCGATTTAGGCCGCGGGTTATCTGGGTGTTTATGGCGTTAAGTGCTGTTGTTGTGCTGTGCACTTTACGGAAGCCATGCTGATGTTTCGCTGGGGTTAGGTGGCAGGTGAAGTATGGGAGCAGCAGGGCCTCAAGTGTCTTCGCGACCGGGGAAAGGAGCGTTATCGGGCGATAAGAGTCTCCTCTGTTGGCGGGCTTCCCCGGTTTCAGCAGTGGGACCACTCTCCCTGATTTCCACACATCAGGAATGATGAGAGTGGTCATAGACAAATTGAGGACCTCCGTGAGGTATGCTACCCCCACAGGCCCCAAATGTTTCAACATCAGCATACAGATTCCGTCGGGTCCAATGGCTTTGGAGGCTTTCGCCTTCCCGATGGCCCCCTTTACTTCACCGCTGGTGAAAACAAGTGGTGCATCGTTTTTGGGCAGTTTGTGCAGCCCCCTGGTCACTCGACGTTTGGCCTTGTCTACCGAAGGATGCAGTGTGAATTGCCGACTGAAATAGTTTGCGCATTTCTTCGGGTCCGATGAGGCGTGACCTTCGAATGAAATTTCCACTCTGTCATCACGCTTCGTCGGGTTGGACAAGGACCTCACGGTTGACCAGAGCTTACTCACACCAGAGGTGAAGTTACAGGCCTTCAAGTGCTCTTCCCACTTTGTCCGCTTGTGTTGATTTACCAGTTGCCGAGTCTCCAAATTAAGTTCCCTCAAGCGAGGGTCCCCGGGGTCGACCTGGCGTAGGTGGTCACGCTCATTTGCTAGTACAGCTGCTTCAGCCGGGAAATTTGGGCGGACTTCCGCGATGCGTCCGGACGGTATGAAGCGAGCTGCTGCGGCTGTGACTACCTTGCGGAACTGGCGTTCGCCAGCATGTACGTCTGTGGGTGTGGGGAGGGCGGCGAAGCTGCTCTCGGTAACTTCCGCGAAGCCGTTCCAATCAGCTTTGTTGAAGTTGGTGTAGGTTCGGTGATCCGCGGGAGCAAAGTCGGTGGGCTTATTGATCGAGATGATTATGGGCAGATGGTCTGATGCTAACGTTAGCATAGGTCGCCATGATATGCTATTTATCAGACCAGCGCTAGCAATTGTTACGTCTGGCGAGTTGCTGCAGCTGCCCACAATCCTGGTGGGGGCGTCGTCGTTCATGGTGCAGAATGTCGAATCGTCTATCTGCTCAGCCAAACTGTTTCCCCTCCGATCATTGGCCAGGCTTGAGTGCCAAAGATCGTGGTGCGCATTGAAGTCACCTACTACCAATCGGTTTTCGCCTCTGAGTAGCGCACCTATGTCAGGGAGATATCCAGCCGGGCAGCAGGTGACAGGGGGTATGTACACGTTAAATATTTCGAGCTCGACATCGCCTGACCGGACAGCTATGCCCTGACATTCTAGGGTAGTGTCCCTTGGGTCGATGTCTTCTTCGATTAGCCGATACTGCACTGTGTGGTGTAGAATGAACGCTAGTCCACCACCATTATCTCGCTCGCGATCTTTACGGAGCACATTGTAGGCGGCGCAACCCAACAGAGTTGAGTTGCTGTGCAACTTCGTTTCTTGGACCGCAGCTATCAATATGCCGTGCCGACCCATGAAGACTGCTATCTCCTCAATCTTGCTCTGGAGTCCGTTGCAGTTGAGTTGGAGTACGTTTATGTGCCTTGGGAGGCTGGTCGCGATACGGGGGGTCAGAGAAGTGTGGGGCCTACCTTGGGCCTGTTGCGCCTGACGCAGTTGCTGTTGCAGCCTGATGGTAGGTGGCTGCGATATGGGCGTTGTTGTCTGCGTCGGCGGTGCACTACAGCAAGGGGCGCTGTAGTTTGTAGTCCATTCGCGAGTGGTGCGTAGACCAGAACATAGCCGGAAGTG